ACTATCGAATAATGCTGATAATGTCAATAATATTGGCATGATGCACACGTTTCAGAATCTCGTCAATGCACGCATAGTCACTGTAAATGTTTCATTGAGTGTAACATTTGAATTGAAAGTACAAGAACGACATCGTAGTAAAAAGAATGCGGCTGCATTATAAATATTTAATTCAGTTTTTTAGTTTGAATATGATCTCTTCGTTCCGTCCAATATAGAACTCACTAATATATGTATGTGTAGCTTTTTTTCTGTAATTGATATTATGTTTTGCTCTAGTATTGTTTAATTTATTGTTGTTGCTCTGAGAATGACCAAGTGAGAATTGACATTGATCTTGGAATAAATAATATAGATTTTAAACATCAGCAGCAATCTCTTTTTCGATATATGTAAGAAGTCTTTGAAATGATTGAACTAGTAGTAAAAGATGAGTAGACAAGCTTGTCGTTCTTAGCAGTTCTATTTATGCTGAAATAGAAAGTATTAAACGCTCAGTCTAATGTAGTAGCATATTTTAGAGGCTGCCGTGCACTCAACAATCGACCTGTTGGTCTCTTTGCACGGCATTTGATTCATTTAGACGATTTCGCCCACTTTAAGATAATATATAATTAGAACAGGTACTACGTCTCATTTCTTGCCCGAAGACATTCGCTTCACCTTAGATTCTATCACTGTTGAGAAAATGTTGTCCTACAGGAATAAACAATACTTTATATTCCGGACACTGACTGAATTAATTACAATCTGTACTCGGTTTTGCAGATTCTTTAATGATAAGATGATACTTCCAGACTACTGGTATATCTGTATTATTATACGATATTTTCAAAAATTAATCGATCATTAATACGAAGTAGACCAGAAGTTGATGAGTCAGTTTTTGTTTGAATTTAGATTAAGAAAAGCAGAGCTAACAGAGCAAGTATCTGTCTGATTCACGTCAAAAAGTATTTAGACAAAATACGCATAATTATTGAAGAAAGCGTTAAAATAAGTTAAACCAGGTTCGATGTCTGCTCATGAAAATAAACAATGCTAAAAAAAGATAACTGTTGATTTATTACTAGCTAAGAGTTCAACCAAATGGCCGATTATTTTGAAAACAACAACAGCAACACAGAATGAATAAGTAGTCTAATTATTCAACTGCTTTTAGGACATAGAATCGCTGAATCAAGTAGTATGGAACACTTTGCCCAAGTACTTAGAGTATGATGACATTATTAGTGACAGATAAGGTAATCTTTACAGCAGTTTTAATTTTCTTCTGTTTCAAAAATCACCGCGATAGCGAGCGACTAGTTTAGAAAAAAAACATAACTCAAGCACTAAATTAAATATTTTGAGAATCGTAGACTTCTCAATGATTGATCTAAGAAAAACGGATTGCACATAATTTCATTCTTTTCAATTTTCAATAAAACAGTCAATAAAAAATAAAAACAAGTGACAAGAAGCAACAATGAAAATTTGATAAAATAATAATAACACGTGTCTCCAAATAACAACGACGCTGAAAACAACAACAAAAAATAGACGAAGAAAATATTTAGTATGATGAAAACTAATATACGGTTTTGATTTATTTGCTTACTGCTTAACTAAAAAATTCAACACAATATATCAATGATTATTTCAAAACTTTACAAACGTATCCGGGATCTATAATGAGAGCTTTTCCTGCATGGAGGATTAAACGAAAGATTACACCGTACTAAATGAGATTTAACGCTTGATGGCATTTATCTTGAAAGATCTAAGAGTATATAAGAAAATATAAAAAACTAGTCTGTTTTATTTGCTAAATTGTCCGAGTTCTCATCACTATCATCATTCATTGACGCAATATAACTTTCTCTTACTTGCCAAGCGCGAGCTGGTAAGTTTTGTAATCTGTCAATTGCACGATATTTCCATAATAACCAAATAATACCAACAATCGTACAAAATATAACCTCAAGGTAATATGAATCTATATGGGCATGTGTACAAAAACCGCCTAACATTTGACATTTTTTCTCTTCTTCTGGAGTATAACATTTTGTATCACTTAATGAACATGTTTTCCATGTTAAATAATCAGCAGCATACAATACGGCTGTTGATATCCATACAGTACCTAAAAGAACGAAAATATTATATTTAAATTACAAAGAACCTATTTATTTTTTGCTCATTTTACCCAGATTTGATAACGTATTGAGAAGAGTCATGTATGTACCACCGACTTTTGGATCACTTACTGTCGCATAAAATGACATTTGTGATACAAACATATTATATACAAACACCTAATGAAAACGAGATATATTATGAGTTTTTCAACAACAAAAAAACAAGTAAAATGTTAATACTTGGTGTATAGCATAAATAACGATTGCAATACCATAATAATACCATGGAAATGTTTTATTGTAATTCTGAAAGTATGGCGTTAAATAGACGAACAATGCCATTATAATACCCATCAATAATCTGAAACCAGAAGGAAAATACTTTTTAAAAAAGTTGATTAAGAATTAGACTAGAAAAACACTTATATTTTCAATTGAGATCGATCTTTAAGAGCAAACAACTTGTATCTTAAAGTGGCAATTTCAAGATCAATTTAAATTACGTCTTTCTTTTTCAAATCAGCAAGCGACTTGTCTAGCTAACGGTCCTCTTTTTTCGTTCTTTTTCAAAAAATTATTGCAATAAAGCGACAAACTAATCTAAAATTACAACTAGATAATTAAATAGATTAAACATTTCTCTATAAAATGAAAAGTGTCTCGGCTCTGAACGTTGATTCGTTATGAAAATAGAGCTGTTGTACAAACAGCCCAAAAGATCAATTTTGGGGCTATCTGAAAAACGTGTCTAAAAGAGCGAAGACGAGCAGGCGAAAATTCAACAAGTATCGATCTTTTGGGCTGTTTGTACAACAGCTGTTTCATAAAGAATGAACGTTCAGAGCCGAGACACTTTTCATTTTATAGAGAAATGTTTAATCTGCTTAATTATCTAGTTGTAATTTTAGATTAGTTTGTCGCTTTATTGCAATAATTTTTTGAAAAAGAACGAAAAAAATGGGACCGTTATCTAGACAAGGCATAAGGTTGGCTTACTGAAGTCAAAACTAATTCAGTAGTTTATTGAATATCAGAAAAGAATTCTGAAGGCTTGTAATAGTTCAACATAGAGAGGATCAGTGTAATATTTAGACGAGAGAGGTATACAATATCTATGATGAGCTTAAATTTTTATGAGAAACTAACTACACACACACTTCTTTACCTTGGTGGATAAGAATTAATGAATAATCGCAATGGTTTGGGACCAGCTGTATATCGAGATATAATAAACGGTAATATAATTTGTAATGGTGTTAATGGTATTGCCAGTAAGGCTAAAGAATCTGTTGTTACACCTCTTTGTAATAGTTCTAGACCGGTCATAGAATCTGTAGCGGCAAAACCTATCTAAACGAAAGAAGAAAAGCGTACATTATTTATTCATGTATGTATGATACTGCACTTCACTTTCACTTACTTTGACTGTCAATAGGATAATGGCTATTTCGCGAACACATGATAATTTTAATAATTTAAATAAAATTTTATATGTTTCAATAATTCCAAAATGCGGTTCGTCTGAATGTACAGTATCATCTTCTTCATGTTTAAATAAAGCAATGAATGTTGTTGAGATAATAAATATAAAACCCCAAAAGAAAAGAAAACCTTAAAGTAAAACAAACAATTTTTTTGGAAAGTGTTACGAGAAAATATTGTTGACTTTACCTGGTAGTGTGACTAGTCCATGATTGGCTTCAGGTAGAAGAAACAATTTTCGTATATAACGATTAGAAAAATCTTTGGATTCTAATGATAGAAAAATGACGTTACCAAGAAAATAACCGGCTGTTTGTCCCACTGAATTACACGTTGATGCCCAACCAACGTTATCCCTATTTTAAAATACGAAAGTCAGTAACACAATCGAAATAAACTAAATAAAGAAACAAATAAACGCACTTTTATACCTCGATAACATTGATAATGCCCAACCATCAACACATATATCTTGAGTTGCAGCAAGAAATGACAAGCCAAAAAATACGGCAGTTAATAAGTAGATATCTAAACAACAGAAAAAACAGTAGTTAGCAAATAGTAAAAATGATCAATAGTGCAAAAAGAAGATCGATAGATCGAGTTATATGAAAAACTAGTAAAAAATAAAATGGACTCAGAAAATTAGTGGCACCAAAGAACTATAAACGAATAAACATCTCGTTCGTAGAAATTACGTATTGCCAAAAATATAGATATTCGATTCACGAACGCTTGAGAACTTACATAAACTTTTAAACCTATCTAAATAAATTCTAAACAGATGTTAAACTTAATTACACGATGCAAATGGAAATTCATGTAAGTTTGCGCAAATATTTGACGAAATTTCTTTGATATACTTAATATACAGTATCCTTAATATAAATATTAATTCACATCTTTATACTCAATATGTTTTGCCATGTAAAAATGTTGCCATTTATTTGATTACATGGACTAATCTTAGGAATAATTCATGTTACTAGAACGTTAGTGATTGTTTTGCTTTCGAATCGAATATTTTAGTACTGGATAACCAAATACAAAAAACACTTCAGAATTTTATCCAACATACGTCTCAATGGAGTTATATCATCGTTTATATAACTATGGAAGGAGCATCGTACTAGTAACGATAAGAATTGATCTCCAGTCAAATTCAGGATTCCCGATCAGGCGGATGCTGACCCCTCCCTAAAAAAATCTTTGGACTTTCTGGTAAAATCTTTGATGTTTTTCCATCAGTAACTTTCTGCCAAAAGCTTCGAAAACTTTTTTTTGCCAGTCACTTTCTGAGAAGCAAAATTTTTAGTCCCTTCCATCCCCAAGAACAATCGGAAACTCTGGTCAAATTTAGTAATTCTTTGATATTAGAGCTATGAAATGAATCCAAATTACGACGGACAATCAATCATATTGCAATTAAACCTACCTAAAACTGTTTTTTACATAATCAAATTTAGAGAAAATAAATCATACACATTTGATAAACTAAATTCTTTTTAGAGTTTAGACATTCCTAAAAACATCCAGCATAGAGCTAATCATTTAAGATTTTGATCTTAACGCTTAGTTTCAATGTAAAAATTTTATCATACAATTCGATACAGATATTTCATGGCGTCTTCATTCATTGCTTCACAGTCCATAGAAAAATAAGATTATTAGACAGTAAAAAACAGATTATTGCTTTTTTCAGGTCTTGGAGGGCATCTGTCAGACAAAAGTACGTCAACACTTGAATATATTCCCAATACGTACGTGAATGAGAAGTATTTGCTGCTGTTACTAAACTAGTAATATTGTATGAGAGTATAAGCATTGTGATACCAATTAAATACTGCATGGGTATAAGCCATGTTTTTCTTCGTCCAAATCTTTTCAAATATAGTGCATCAACAATAGGTCTAGAAATCAAACGTTTGTGTACAGATAATAATAGTAATCCATGCAAGAGGCACACTACTTACGCCCATATTAATTTCAAACTAAATGGCCAAAAAGCGAATGAAAATGTAGCTTGCTGTGACCAAGACGCACCGAATGTTTGAATAATTAACGGAATTGAGGCTGCCATACCTAACGGAATTCCTTGTAAAAGATACAAAAATAGTAACAATAATATTGAAGAACGATCTTTTCTCCAATCTTGTTTATTTGGTGGATTTGTGTCAGATGTTGCTGATTTTGAAGGATAACGCTCTAGTATGATTTCATTTTCTGATATTTGCTGATGAAGAGGTTGGTGTTCTTTATCTCTGTCATCTGAACCATCACTTTCTTGTTCGGAAGACGATTCACCGACCGTTTTAGCTGACATTAAGTACGATTCACCAGTCGCATCGTCTTCTTGAGGTTTCGATTTATTAGTGGAACGATGACGAATATCAGTCATCTAAAAAGTGGCGAAAAATCCATTTGTAAAAGAATAAAATGAAGAATACGCGAGAACCAAATGACATTTCAAAATACGAACGACAGAGGTGCAGAGTCTATCTGTAAGAATGAAAAACTTCCCACGACGGGAAAAGTTCTAAAAAACTGCTCACTAGTCTTTCTTCTGTAGTTACTTTTCAGCAAAAATTCTATTCTTTTTAAAACTTTCATTTAGTCGAGAAACCTAAACAAATGAACATCGGATATCAAACAGGGATAATGAGACGAAAGTCTACCGGAGAGACAGCTCATACGATTGTCGATTGTCCGAGTACTTCTAATCAGATGATTCATCATAGCAGACCGACGATTTCAATCAGTGATCACTTACTCCTATAGCTTAATAAAGCGTCATTCAGTCTCAGAGCGCAGAGTGATGTT